GACGGCGGAAATCCTGAACCCACAGTGGTTTAGGGTTTAGGGTTTAGGGTTTAGGGTTTAGGGCAATTCGACCCCAAACCCTAAGCCCCAAACCCTAACCCGAAACCCTAAGCCTTCTAAAGTCACCCCTACCCTCTAGGCCCCAGAAACCCTAAACAAGCCATTTGGAAAGTTGCTCTGCTGTGCCAGGTGGCTCAGAAGCAGCGCAAGCTTGCGGCCCAGGTGTCCGGAGCTTCCTGCCACATTCCAACCTTTTTTCCCTGAAAGCCCTACAAGCCGTGAGCCCTAAAAAAGCCATGTGAACACTGTAAGCCCTAAAACCTCTGTGAACCCCAAGCTCTCAATATCTCATAAAACCCGTAGACCTTATGAAAACATCTTATAATGTCTATCAACCCTACAAGGGTAAGCCCTCAACTCCAACCAAGCCTGGTGCCCCCTAACCCTCTCAGCCTCAGGCGATCCCTAAGCATCCCGACGCCCTCATACCGAAAGCTCATGAGAGGTTCCCTAAATTGGGGCCCCTTTCGGGGTGGGCTCCTGTCATGATTCGAAGCCTCATTATGTGTATAATGTATACATATATATATATATATACATATGCATAGCAAGGGTACCCTGAAAGGGCTAGTTGATTGAGAGAATCCACCGCATCCCTCGAAGCCCAACTGCCTAGAACTTAGTAGAGTTTAGGGCCCGGTTTGATTGCAGTTTCGGAGTCAAGCCTCGGTGGTTTTGGAGGATGCGCCTGATTCACATCACCCAAGGCCCCACTCCCTCTTCTGGACTGCTGTCGGGTCTGGCGCCCTTAACTCCTACACCAGAGAAAGGAGGGGCCTGAACCCTAAACGGTTGACCCTAAACCCTCTGCTCCTACAGTGCCTTCTTGGAGGTTCATGGGTAGTTAGAAGTAGGGTTCTAATTTAGCACTTTCAGTAAGGTTATAGTTGCCCTACTTATCGCCCTACTTCTAACTACCCATGAACCTCCAAGTAGACTCGGACCCTTAAGTTTTGGAAGCTTCGCGCAGCCGCAGGCAGAATCTGAGCAAGAGCACCAGGCCACTGGGGTAGGGCAGTGGAGCGAACTTAGCTCATAGGATCGCAACCCCCCGCCCCCCCGCCCCCCAGCAGGTAGAGCAGGATGCCTCAGACGCGCACTCTTCCATTTCCGTGATGTTGCTTGTACGCTGTCTAAACTTGCAGTACGTAGTACCAAACACCAAACTCCCAAACTTACTGTAGTAGCTGAATGAGTACACATTACACTTTTTGGGATACTATAATCCCCTTAGGGAACTGAAAGTGTGCACCTTTATTGGGGGGCCTATGAACCCAGTAACTAGGCAAAGGAAGCCTAAGCTGGACGTTGTTACCTGCATGCGGCTCTCCCGGCCGGAAGGCTTCAAGTTGAGTATCTTGCTGTTTGCCAAAACCCTAAACACTGTAAACCCTTTAAAAACCCTATAAACCCTTAAAACCCTATAAACCCTATAAACCCTAAACCCTCTAAACCCTATGAACCCTATAAACCCTAAACCCTAAGCTCTTTCTGGCGGCGAACACAATGCGGGTAGGCCTGGCGCCAATCAGGATGCATATTATTTTCAATGTAACCTTAATCCTTTGACAACTGACCTACTAAACCCCTACACCCGGAAGGCCTAAGATCTAGAACAGCCAAAAGTTGCCCTTGCTAGGCCCTTAGACAGATCAAGAAGCTCGTATATGCGCATGCTGCACGCGCTAAATCCCTAAACTACTAGATACGTCAGCCCTCAACTCTAAACCCCTAAACCCCTGAAGCCCTCAAACCCCAAACCCCCCAAGCCCCGCAACCGCCGCAAAGCCCCCAACCCCAACCACCCAACCCTTAACACCCCCCCCCACCCCCTAAACCAACCCCCCCCCCCCCCCGGCCACTCCTAGTCCCTAAACCCTAAACCTTGAGCCCTAAACCCTAAACTCTAGACCCTTCACCCTCAAGCCCCTCCAGCTTGCACGCCGCAGGCCTTGCAAAAGATGGCCAAGCGGCTGACCTCAAATTTCGAGGAGATGACGAACATGGCCCGGGGGGAGGGGGGGGGAGCTTCTGGAGATTAGGGTTTAGGGTTTAGGTTTTAGGGTTTAGGGTTTAGGGTTTAGGGTTAGGGTTTAGGGATTTGAGGGTTGAGGGTGTTTGGGCTTCGGGCTTGGGGCTGCTGATTTATGTACGGTTAAGGGTTCAGGGATCGGATTGGCGGCTATGCTATGCGTTGTTTGACTTTATTGAGTACCTGTTTTATCATCGTGGGCATGTGATATGTAGGACAACTTCCCCCCCTTGCCCGCAGTTTAGAGAACAGGCCGGGTTTGTCCGTTTTTGTTTTGAGTATAGTTTGGGCCCCTATCTATACTCTTAATCCCTAAACCCGAAACCCTAAACCCTAAACTAGGGGTGTAGAGATCTCATGCCCTCAGTTATAAGCCATAGAACCCGAACCCGAACCCGAAGTTTTTTGGGGTTTGGGATGTTGGCAGCTCCGTTGTCGGGCAATCCCCTCCCACTACTGTCGTCGAAGCTCCCAACCAGGGACATTAAGTCAGAGGTGTACTGTTTTGCATATACATGTTATATACATGTTAATATGTAAATATATAAACGGGATCTTGCTAGGGCTATTCGTTTAACGCATATACGATCATTGTTCTAGGTACACTTTTAGTTCTTGACTTGCTTTAAAAGACATTTACGCGGGGCTGCTTCAGGCCTGGGCTTTTTTCATGTATGGAGGGTGAGGGCTGGTTGGCATCTTTTGCTGCCCTAAACCCTAAACCCTAAACCCTAAACCCTAAACCCTAAACCCTAAACCCTAAACCCTAAACCCTAAACCCTAAACCCTAAACCCTAAACCCTAAACCCTAAACCCTAAACCCTAAACCCTAAACCGGGCGGCTCCGCTGTTTCGTTCGGTGAGGATTTTGATGTTCATCATGGGGTCCTTGTTATAATAAGGGAATCCTACTATTTGGGGGTTTAAATTTGGGGTCCTCCTTCTTTCCCAAAAAACTCCCATATCCCATGATAGAAGATACCCCCTACTATACCCCAAAAGCATGAGAATCCTCAATTCTAGGAACCCACCGAAACAGGGTACGCCTCTCTTGGGATACCTCTCATCATCTTGTCTTTTGCCTTCGTGGTCTTTGCGGTGCTCTTGAAGCAGTCCTCGGGGTTTAGGGTTTAGGGTTTAGGGTTTAGGGTTTAGGGTTTAGGGTTTAGGGTTTAGGGTTTAGGGTTTAGGGTTTAGGGTTTAGGGTTTAGGGTTAGGGTTAAAAAAAACGGAAGCCTTGTGAGCAAGGTGGCCACGCTCCGGGGCTACAGCCAAGCCAGGAAAAGTGACGAGAGCTGAGCCCAGGATTCGTGGGTTTAGGGTTTAGGGTTTAGGGTTTAGGGTTTAGGGTTTAGGGTTTAGGGTTTAGGGGTTTAAAGGTTCAAAGGTTTAAGGGTTTAAGGGTTAAAGGTTCAAGGGTGTAAGGGTTTCAGGGTTTCAGGGTTTAGAGTTAGTTTGTTTTGTTTCTCTTTCCTTTTTCTTGGGATGCTGGGATTAATGGTTTAAAAAATTATGTTTGAGCGTTTGAGGTCCCCTAAACACTGCTGAGCCGGCTTTTTCAAGGCTTAGGGTTTAGGGTTTCGGGTCTAGGGTTTAGGGTTTAGGGCTTAGGGTTTAGGCCACAGCTTCCCCTTGTCGTAGACCTTGTCAGCGCCCAGTTGCTGGAAAACATCCCGGCAAGCAAGCAGCAATAGTCCCACTAAATCCTCCTTGGGAATTATTTTGTATTTTTGTTTACATAAAACCCGAGAGGATATTAAAAATCTGATGTTCATTAAGGTTCTAAGGGGAGTATAGCCCAGGTGTTCTTTTGTTGGGGCTTCTGAGGGCCTTTGCGGGATTGAGTCTTTAGGTTTAGGGCTTGGGGCTTAGGGCTTAGGGCTTAGGGCTTAGGGCTTAGGGCTTAGGGCTTAGGGCTTAGGGCTTAGGGTTTAGGGTTTAGGGTTTAGGGTTTAGGGTTTAGGGTTTAGGGTTTAGGGTTTAGGGTTTAGGGTTTAGGGTTTAGGTCTCACGGCACTCCAAATTGCGAGCGCTTTGAGTTTCACCCCTTTCTAGGCACCTCCGTGCCCCCGAAGCGGAGGATGGTGCGAAACTGGCGTGCCCACAGGGTTTAGGGTTTAGGGTTTAGGGTTCAGGGTTTGGGGTTTAGGGTTTAGGTTTTAGGGTTTAGGGTTCAGGGTTCAGGGTTTAGGGTTTAAGGTTTCGGGGTCAGAGTTCAGGGTTTAGGGTTCAGGGTTTAGGGGTTTAGGGTTTAGGGTTGACCTCGTGGTTGCTCGAAGCACTTGTTATGCATGAAGATGCGCATGTATATAGTTCTACGAATGAAGATTCAGGCGCCCTCAGAAGATGTGAAGCTGACAGTAGCATAAGGGGCTATCCCGGGTGGGTTTGGAGAGTGGAGGGGGAGGTTTAGCCTGCATCAGCTCTCCGTGCCGGACACAGGCACGCTGCGCCCAACTCCACCCTAACTCCCCCCCCCACGACCCCTTTCCCAAACAACTGAGGCCGAAGCCCGACACTTGACCAGTTTTGCGCACCCTGTGCCTTTGCAGCTGTCTTTCAGATCAGGCTTTACAAGTGAGTCTTCCGGAAAATCCGGACATACGCAGCTCGAAAGTCACTGTCGCATGTCATGATCCGTGGCAGGGACTTCAAAAATTCCTTGCATCCAGCAAGTCTACGAGTCTACAAGGTTGTCGTGGCCTTGTGGGCCACCGCCACACACTCCGAAGCTTCTTTAAGAGAAACGGAGCAGCCCAAGTTAAGTAGCCAAGGACCCAGAGTAGGCCCTTATTGACTTTTTTTTGGGTTTAGGTTCCCTGATAAGCCCCTCTAAAGCCCCTGTAAACCCAAAAAGGGCACCCTTCGTATTCGTAGGTTTCTCTATTGGGTCTAGCATCTCGCAGCGATGTCCCAAAATTCACCGGCTCGCGTCGAGAAGCTGGTGATTCAGAATTTCAAGTCCTACGCCGGGAGGCACGAGATAGGCGCCCCGCGGCAGATCTTCTAAGGGTAGTTCCCCTAAACCCTAAACCCTAAACCCTAAACCCTAAACCCTAAACCATGGTCGCTTAACACGGTCCCTTACCTTCCTTTAAGGGTTCTGAAGGTGGGGCCCTTGGGTTTTATAGGGATTCCCTTCTAAGGGTTTAGGGTTTAGGGTTTAGGGTTTAGGGTTTAGGGTTTAGGGCCCCTTCCAAGGGACCATGTAGCTACCCTAAGAGATCTTGATTGAAACGGTTCAGGGTCTACAGGGTTCATGGCAGGTGCCACGCTCACAACATGCATTCCGGTGCAACTCCTGTCCGTGGTGCGACTGCGTTCCTTACACCCGAAACCCGAAGCCCTAAGCCCTAAACCCTAAACCCTAAACCCTAAACCCTAAGCCCTAAACCCTAAACCCTAAATCCTAAACCCTAAACCCCAAACCCTAAAGCCTAAACCCTAAACCCTAAACCCTTGCTCCCGACGTTGTTCAAACGCAGGTCCTTTCGACAAGTTCACCTGCATCATTGGCCCCAATGGCTCTGGCAAGTCCAACATTATGGTGCGCCCCGGATCCCACGGGGTGTCGGTTGCCGTGCTTCGGACGTTGAAGGTTGCTGGCAAGTCGCTATCGATCTCGCCTCGGAATTCTAGGGTCGTTTTCGGCTTCCCGCCGTCCGGCTCAGAGGCTACACATGCAGGTGCTTTCGTTCGCGCACCTGATCTCAACCATCGTTATCAAGAGCAACACGCCGTGAACATGGGTGATGGTCAACTACAGCAACATCATGAATGTCGTCAACGTTGTGCTGCTGGTGGTGATGGCGGTGATGGCCGTTGTCGTAGTCGAGGTCGTCGTTGTTGTCGTATTCGTGCTTCGTTTCCTCGACGTCGTCGTAGTCGTAGTAGTCGTTGTCGTCGTCGTCGTCGTCGTAGTAGCAGCAGCAGTAGCAGTAGCAGTAGAAGTAGCAGTAGCAGTAGCAGCAAGAGTAGCCATGGCAGTGGCAGTGAGTAGGTAGCAGTTAGTAGTTTGTAGTGAGTAGTTTGTAGTTAGAAGTTAGTAGTTCCCCAAAGAGTCTACTGTTGGGGTTCTAAATTCATTTAAGGATTGCCGACATTCTGAGAACTGTTGCCGGGTTCCTGGGCTCCTTGTCTCCCTTTGTTTCCCTTCATGTGGGTGGCCTTTCCGGGTTGCCGTGCTCCTCGCCTCCCTTCGTCTCCCGTCGCCTCCCGTCGTCTCCACTGTGATCTGCCTTTGACTTTTTGAGGTCCTCAGTGGTGTAATTAGCAGTTAGTGCTTGGTCGTTAGTCGTTAGTAGTTAAGAAGTTAGTAGCTACTAGTCAGTAGTCAGTAGTTCGTAGTTCGTAGTTAGTTGTTCGCAGGTAGTTGTTAGCAGTAGGTAGTAAGAAGTTTGTACTTACTGGTTTGTAGTCTGCAGTTAGAGGTTATCGTCATCCTCCTCCTCCTCCTCGTCGTCATGGTAGCGGTATGGGTACTGGTAGTTGTAGTGGTAGTGCTGGTGGTAGTGCTAGTGCTCGTGGTAGTGCTAGTGGCAGTGCGAGTGCTAGTGCTACTGCTAGTGCTACTGCCAGTGCTAGTGCTAGTGGTAGTGGTAGTGGCAGTGTTGGTAGTAGTCGTCGTCGTCGTGGTGGTGGTGGTGGCGGCGAGCGGTGGCGCTGGTGGTGAGTGTGTTAAATTGCTAAATGTTACGCACCCACTCTAAGCCCTGGACCCTAAGCCCGAAACAGGATGCCATCAGCTTCTGCCTGGGCATCAAAACGAAACACTTGCGTGGCGAGCGGTTGAAGGCCTGACCAACAGGGCTCCGGAAATTTCGGTTAGGGTTTCAGCGGTGTAGAGTTTTAAAGTTTACGGCCCAATTTACGGCCTAGGGAGTCCAAACCTCAATACCCTCCAGGTTTGCACATTGAGGCTTCTGCGATGGAAGTTTGGGTTGGAAACCACGGTAGGGAAAAAGGGGCTTGTTTAGAACGGGTATTTGGGCAGGTTATCTTCGACGTATGTAGGGATTAGAAGGCCATAGTGTTAGCAACAGTTGAGGCTCCTGAATGAGGCGGATATCGCTCAAGGCTTTGAGTGTTCTTGAAGGTTCAAGTTTGCGCATGCGCAGGTTTAGGATTTCAGGGCGTTTAGGACTTTAGGGCCTTTAGGGCTTTGGGGCGAGCATTTCGGCCACCGTCCTTCAAGCAGAGAGGACACGAAGACGTTCGCAGTCGAAGCGGTCCCCAGCTACACTCCCATGTACCGCTGTAGGAGAAGGCAAACCCCAGAGTACAAAAGTAGTGGGGAGTGGGGTGGGTAAGGAGAATGGGTAAGGCGGTTTAGGGTTTAGGGTTTAGGGTTTAGGGTTTAGGGTTTAATGAAACAGGAGTGGGTGGGTGGGTGAAAGTGGGAAGCGGGGAAGGTCGCAAGCCCAACGCCAGAACCCAAACTCCAAACCTTAAACCTCCAAGCCCCAACTGGGTAGTTCTCATGAGAGTCCCTTTTAGGCTCCTTTTTTTAGAGAGTGCTGTACTATATAATTAGAGAACAACCCAAACCCTAAACAGTAAACCCTAAACCCTCAACCCTGAACCCTAAACCCTAAACCCTGAACCCCTAAACCCCAAACCCTGAAACCTGAACCCTAAACCCTAAACCCTATCAGCCGGCTCTCTGTGACGGGGAAGGACCTCGTCTACCGTCGCGAGGACGAGACGGTGGATGCGAACCCGCGATCTGCGGAGGTCTTCTACCCAAGAAGGTTTGGGGTTTTAGGGTTTTAGGGTTTTAGGGTTCTAGGGTTCTAGGGTTTTAGGGGGGTTTTGGGGGGGTTTTAGGGGGGTTTTAGGGGGTTTTAGGGTTTTAGGGTTCTAGGGTTTTAGGGTGTTAGGGTGTTAGGGTGTTAGGGTGTTAGGGTTTTAGGGTTTTAGGGTTTTAGGGTTCTAGGGTTTTAGGGTTTTAGGGTGTTAGGGTTTTAGGGTTTTAGGGTGTTAGGGTTTTAGGGTTTTAGGGTTTTTGGGCTTTAGGGCTTTAGGGCTTGAGGGCTTTAGGGTTTTAGGGTGTTAGGGTTTTAGGGTTTGAGCAAACTGAATCTACCTGGTCCCTTTATATGGTCCCTTACCTTTGAAGGGTTCCGAACTACGGGCGCTTCGGTTTTAGAGGGTATGTAAGGGTTCCCCAATCAAGGGCCCATAAGAAAAGGACCATGAAACCCTAAGCCCTTAACCCGAGAACCCGATCAGCCCTAAGACCGGGCTCCCGGAAGAGAAGCTTCAAGAGCTGAGGGTTTCTAGATTACCGGGCTTAGGGTTTAGGGTTTAGGGTTCAGGGTTTAGGATTTAGGGTTTCGGGTTTCGGGTTTCGGACCGGTTTCACGCCAGGCTAGCAGACAGCATTCAGGCCTCGCGTAGAGGCAAGGGGGCAGTCCGGCAGAGTTTTGGGCCTTGATTCGGTTTGGGGGGAAGCCCTGTCTCCACGTGACCCTAAACTCAACCTGAAACCGAAGTGAGAAGATATCTCGGCCTGCTTGGTGACAACCGAAATTGCTCGAAACCCTAAGCCCCACACCCTAGACCAAAGCTCAAAAACCTCGGAACGCTTGGATGTGTCTTTAGGCTTTCGGGACTTGCGTAGTTCCTGTAGCACTTTTCAGGCCCTTTATCCGTAGAGCCCTGAGCTCAGGTGACTATGGCCTTCCGCTCCTCAAAAGGAGTGATGATGTACTTCGGCCGCTGGCCCAGGAGTTTTTTTTTTGGGGGGGGAAGCTTAGCCCGCTTTTTGGATAAGGGAGCCTGCCCGCTTTAGGTTTCTTGGGGTAGCTTTAGAATGTAGGAGTAGTTGGTGAATTATTTGGAGAATTATTAGGCGAATATTTGTTTGAAGATTTTTTGAGAGAACATTTTGGGAATTATTGTGGCGAAATTACCTCTTATGATTTAGTTGGATTTGGGCTGTTTTGCGGGATGGATATCTTAAAAAGCGGGCTAAGCTTCCCCTAGCTGGGGGGGGGGGGGGGGGGGTAGGGGTTCAGTGTTTAGGTTTTTTTTTTTTTTTTGGGGGGGGGGGGGGGGTGGGTTGGGGGCTTTCGGGATCTCTGGATTTAGGGTCAAGGACTCGAGGGTTTAAGGGCAAACCTTAAATCCTGAACCCTAAACCTTAAACCCTAAACCCTACACCCTAAACCCTAAACGATCCTACAGCTTGTGGCCGACCCTACAACCGGAAACCCGCCAAACCCCCCGAAACCACAAAAAAACCCAAACATGGGATGTTCCCCCTTTTCGAACTGTCCTTAAAAGTGTTTAGGGTTTAGGGTTTAGGGATGATAGTAGGGGTTACTATATTCCCTGTTAACGACTGTTAGTATAAGGGGGAACATCCCAGCCCCAAACTTAAAACCCAGAACAAGGCGCCTGCTGTTTAAGGGTTTTTAGGGTACAGCAACCTCCAGAAAGTTGGAACATGGCTTAAGGATGATTTGAGCTGAGATTCCCTTTGGTAGTATCTCTTTTGGGGTATGGGGCTAAGGCTGTTCCAACTCTCGGAGTTTACTGTAAGGGTTTACTTGGAGGTTCATGGTACTTTTTCTGCAAGAATAGCTGTACTTCTAACCCACTTGCAAGACCCTTTAAGTGCCCTAATATGGTTATAATTAGGTTATAAGTGCAGCTAGTATTGGGGTTAATAAGACCTAAACCCTGCACCCTAAATATTGGGTTAATAAGACCCAAACCCTAAACCCTAAACCCTAAACCCTAAACCCTAAACCCTAAACCCTAAACCCTAAACCTCAAGGACCACTAAGTAGGGCTCTTGGGAAACTCCGGACCTTTCGGTTGTCATACCTGAGGCCGCTTCGTCACCAGCAGAGGCGAAGGCATCTACCGCTATGGCGGTGAAAAGGCCCCGCTCGCTGGGGTTAGGGTTCAGGGTTCAGGGTTCAGGGTTTAGGGTTGAGGGTTGAGGGTTTAGGGTTTAGGGTTTATGGTTCAGGGTTCAGGGTTTAGGGTTTAGGGTTTAGGGTTTAGGGTTCAGCATCTCAAGTCCGAGCATTCACTAGTCAAGCAGCTTGTCAAGTGTTGGAATAAAACCCCACCCACCCAAGAAACCCATAACATTGAGAAAATATAAAAATCACTCAATACATTCCCAGTAGGCTTAAAGCTTAAGGTCCAGTTGGCTCAAAACCCGAAATCTAACTCTCAACCTACTGTGGCGGGGGAGGGTGGGGGGGGTGGGGGGGGTGGGGGGGGGTAGGGGACCCTCAGGGCCCTAAACCCTATGCCCCAGAGGCACCCGGGTGGAAAAAAACCGTTTGCCGACGAAGGGGGTTTAGGCCCCCCCCCGGGTGGAAAAAAAACCATTTGCCCACGAAGGGGGTCAGGGTTTAGGGCCCTTCCGGCTGGAAAAAAACCATTTGCCCACGAAGGGGGTCAGGGTTTAGGGCCCCCCCGACTGGAAAAAAACCATTTGCCCACGAAGGGGGTCAGGGTTTAGGCCCCCCCCCCCGGCTGGAAAAAACCATTTGCCCAGGCCCCCCCCGGTGGAAAAAAACCAGTTGCCCACGAAGGGGGTCAGGGTTTAGGGCCCCCCCGGGTGGAAAAAAACCATTTGCCCACGAAGGGGGTCAGGGTTTAGGGCCCCCCCGGGTGGAAAAAAACCATTTGCCCACGAAGGGGGTCAGGGTTTAGGGCCCCCCCGGGTGGAAAAAAACCATTTGCCCACGAAGGGGGTCAGGGTTTAGGGCCCCCCCCGGGTGGAAAAAAAACATTTGCCCACGAAGGGGGTCAGGGTTTAGGGCCCCCCCGGGTGGAAAAAAACCATTTGCCCACGAAGGGGGTCAGGGTTTAGGGCCCCCCCCCGCGTGGAAAAAAAACATTTGCCCACGAAGGGGGTCAGGGTTTAGGGCCCCCCCGGGTGGGAAAAAACCATTTGCCCACGAAGGGGGTCAGGGTTTAGGGCCCCCCGGGTGGAAAAAAACCATTTGCCCACGAAGGGGGTCAGGGTTTAGGCCCCTCCCCCCGGGTGGAAAAAAACCATTTGCCCACGAAGGGGGTCAGGGTGTAGGGCCCCCCCGGCTGGAAAAAAACCATTTGCCCACGAAGGGGGTCAGGGTTTAGGGCCCAAAGGCTCGGTTTTGATCAAAAATCCAGAAAACGAAAGCCCACCCAGAACCGTCGATTTCAGTACTAAAAAATCGCATTTTGAACTGGGACCCGGGCCGATCCTGGGGTCCCCCTCATTTGGGGTGTTTTTGGAGGCACGGCCCAGGAAAAAAAACCATTTGCCCACGAAGGGGGTCAGGGTTTAGGGCCCAGAAAAAAACCACATGCCCACGAAGGTCATTAGGGTTTAAATATACATAGTAAAAGAGGGTTTAGGGTTTAGGGTTTAGGGTTTAGGAGCCCGACTTGTGGGTTCTCTCACGAGACCCCTTGCAAAGATGACCTGCACGTCGTGCGTTTCAGGTTTGGGGCAATGGCAACCCATAAAAGCTCCAGTTAGGAAGAATCCCATGAGCCCCAAACCCCAAATCCCAAACCCCAAACCCTAAACCCCAAACCCCAAACCCCAAACCCCAAACCCTAAATCCTAAACCCTATAAACCCTAAACCCTGAACCCTAAACCTAAACCCTAGCCCTGCGCCAGGTGCCCATGAGTCCCGTCAGCCCAGGCCCCAGGGGTGCAGGAGCACTTGTGCCTTTGGGTTTAGGGTTTAGGGTGTAGGGGGGTTGGGGTTCTGGGTTTATAGGGTGTGTTGGGTGTATTGGGTGTATTAAGGTGTATAGTGTGGTTTATGGGGTTTATTGGGTTTAGCTTTGTGGCTTAGAGGTTAGTTCTTCGGGTTTGGGCTTTGCGCCGTTTAGGTTTTGGGGTGTAGGGCCCTGCCATCCCTAGAGACTCTAAAGAGTTGCTTTAAGGACCTTAGTTCCCTAAACAGCGTGTCAACGCGAGGGGCTTCCAAACCCGAAACCCGAAACCCGAAACCCTAAACTCTAAACCCTAAACCTTGGGTTCGGCCGGTCCACACTAACAGTCACCACCAGCAGACCCACAAATAAAAGCACCCGGTAAATGCCAAAAAATTGACTGAGATTCCTGCTATTCCTGGTGCTATTCCTGGTGCTATTTCTGGTGCTATTTCTGGTGCATTTTTTTGTGCTATTCCTGGTGCTATTTCTGGTGCTATTTTTTGTGCTATTGTTTGTGCTATTTCTGGTGCTATTTTTTGTGCTATTGTTTGTGCTATTTCTGGTGCTATTTCTGGTGCTGTTGCTGGTGCTATGTGACTAACAATCACCATCAGCAGACCCACAAAAAACAGCACCCGGTAAATGCTAAGCTGATAAAATTGACTGGGATTCCTGGTGCTATTTCTGGTGCTATTGTTTGTGCTATTTCTGGTGCTATTTTTTGTGCTATTCCTGGCGCTATTTCAGGTGCTATTTTTTGTGCTATTGTTTGTGCTATTTCTGGTGCTATTTCTGCTGCTATGTGACTAACAGTCACCACCAGCAGACCCACAAAAATAAGCACCCGGTAAATGCTAAAATTGACTGGGATTCCTGGTGCTATTTTTGGCCTGTGTGTTATAAGGCCACGGCGTTATTTGACTGTTAGTGTGGACCGGCCGAACCCAACCTAAACCCTAAACCCTAAACCCTAAACCCTGAAACCTAAAGTTCAGAGTAAGCGGGCCGGGGGGATACAGCCCCGTGACTTAAAGCAACAAGCAGGGCTCGGGGCACAGAGCGGTTCAGGGTTTTGGTGTTTGTTCTCCCCTGAGCCCTCAGGGTTTAGGGTTTGGGGTGTAGGGCTTAGGGTTTAGGGTGCCCACCTATAAACTCTACACCCTCAATCCATGAATCCCAAACAGAACACCTAAGCACGAAGCCCTGAAGCCGTGAACCAGAGCTTCTTGAAGCCCTGAGCCCTTCAACCCTGAACACACGTCGTAGTCCTCCTAAGCCTCTAAACTCCTGGTTTTAAGGGTTTAGGCTTTTGGGGTTTAGGGTTTAGGGTTTAGGGTTTAGGGTTTAGGGTTTAGGGTTTAGGGTTTGGGGAAAACCTAAACCCCAACCCTCGTTCCCAAGGTTCAAGGGATTAGGACTCGTACCCCTAAGCTTGTACCCATAAGAGGTTCCCCTTAGTATACTCCTAATATGGCCCTGTTAATACTACCTGAAGGATCTTTCAGCAGGCTCCCCAATCCACAGTTTACAACCTTAAGGGTTCAAGGTGAAACCCTGAACCCTGAACCCTAAACCCCAAACCCCAAACCCTAAACCCTAAACCCTAACCCCGTCCTCCGTCCCCAAGGTTACGAGGTGTACTCCCAGAAGTTGGCCAACGAAAACATCTTCGTGAGAGCCGTGGGCTGATTCTGTGAAGAGCAGGGGTGGTGGTGGCTCCAGGAAGCTTAGGGAGCTTCGGGGGTTTAGGGTTTAGGGTTTAGGGTTTAGGGCTTAGGGCTTAGGGTTTAGGGTTTAGGGTTAGGGCTTTGGGTTTAGGGCTTTGGGATACAAAGGCGTACAGGTTGCTGAGCTTGAAAAAAGCCGAGCACCTTACACCCTGAAGCCCTCTGGCCCCAAGCCTCGCTAAACCCGGAACCCTGCAGCCGCAATGCTTGTGATTGGGGGGTCGGACCCCTAAACCCTAACCCCTAAACCCTAAACCCTAAACCGCAAACCCTAAACCCTACAGGAAGTCTTGGGACCCCAGTCGGGCCTGCAAGGCACGAAGCTTCCTGGTCTTCCAGGGAGATGTGATGCAGATGGCCAGGCCAGCTGTCCCTTAAGGCTTAGGGTTTCGGGTTTAGGGTTTTGGGTTTGGGGTTTGCGGTTTAGGTTTAGGGTTTGGCGCTTAGTGTCTAGGGTTTCTTTAGCAAGGGCTTGCCCTAAACTCTCCAAGCCCCCAAGCCTCTGAAAACAAAGTGCAGCCCATGCATCCCTGAAACTCCACAACCCGAAACTTCAAACCCTAAACCCCAAACCCTAAGCCCCGAACCCCAAACCCCAAACCCTTAGCCCATAGCCCTTAAACCCAAAGCTCCCCCATGGAGTACACAAAGCGTCCGGTCGCTCTCAGAATCTTCTGGGTTTAGGGTTTGGGGTTTGGGGTTTAGGGTTTAGGGTCAGGGTTTAGGGTTTAGGGTTTAGGGTTTAGGGTTTAGGGTTTAGGGTTTAGGGTTTAGGGTTTAGGGTTTAGGGTTTAGGGTTTAGGGTTTAGGGTTTAGGGTTTAGGGTTTAGGGTTTTCGGAATCTTGAGTTTTTTCAGGGTTTCGGGTTTAGGGTTTGGGGGTTTGGGGGTTTAGGGTTTAAGGGGTTCCGGGTTTTCTGGTTTAGGGGCTTAGGATTGTAGGGGTTGAGGGTCGCACGGAAGTTTGCGATCCTTCTCGTCGAAAGATTCCTAAAAGATGCTCGTGATTTAGGGCCTTTGGCCCCAAATCTGAACTCCTAAAACCGGGCTAGGACGCAGCGTAAGCTCTTGTTCCCTTTTTGTTCGGGCTTAGGTTCCCATATAAGCCCCTTCAAACTGCAAAGGGTACCTTGTTTATTCCTAGGATACTCTTGGGTCTCACCTAAAACCCTCAACCCTGTTGCCCCCAAACCCAAGCTCACCCACAAGCCTAAGCCCCAAGCCCCACGCCTACAAGCCCGAACTCTGCACGGGGTTTGTTTTGGATATCTGTGACCCTGAACCCTGAACCCTATATCCTAAACCCTCAAGACCAGGATAAATGGAAACTGTATGTGATTCATGACGAGCAGCTCGTACAATAATCCTTCATCCTTCACAATGTAAGAAAAGAAGACCAAAACAAACGTGACTCTCAGTCACTCAAAAAGATTCAAAATGAGAAAAGTCCAAAAGATTCCAGAAAAGGCAGGCTGCCAGTCCCATCCCACAGCAGCAGCCAGCCCAACCCCAGCCCCAGCCCCCCAACAGCCCCCAGAGCCCCCAGAGCCCCCAGAGCGCGGCCCTCCCGAAGTGCAAAGGCTTCAAAAAAAGTTTTCAAATGCCCCCAGAAGCAGAAAAAAAACGCTCAAAACCCGCCCAAAACCCGCTCAAAACTTGGACCTGAACCCTATACAATTTCTATAAATCCCAAACCCCAAACCCCAAACCCCAAACCCCAAACCCCAAACCCCAAACCCCAAACCCCAAACCCCAAACCCCAAACCCCAAACCCCAAACCCCAAACCCTAAACCCTAAACCCTAAGCCCTAGACAACAAGCCCCTCAAAAAAGCAGGCGGCAAGGAGCGGAGCTCACGGCCACCCTGGAAGCCCTGAGCGGCGGGGGTGCCCAGCCTTCGGGGAGCTGCGCGCTCTCGGAGAGCCCTTTCTTTAGGGTTTAGGGTTTAGGGTTTAGGGTTTAGGGTTTAGGGTTTAGGGTTTAGGGTTTAGGGTTTAGGGTTTAGGGTTTAGGGTTTAGGGTTTAGGGTTTAGGGTTTAGGGTTTAGGGTTTGTGTTGAGGTCCTAGGTGGGATTAGGGAGACCCTTCCATGGGGACCCCTTCTCAACCCTCTTCTTAAGGAGGGACCTTATTGAGAGGGTCTATATCCCCAAAGGTGCCCCTAATCCTACCTCCTATGACAGTTGTTGAGGGCTTTTGAGGGGGGTTTTGAGTTCTTTTGAGGGTTTTGTTGATGGTTTTTTTTGTTTTTTTTGAGGTCTTTTCTGAGGGTTTTTTTGAGGGTTTTAGAGGGGTTTAGGGTTTTAGAGGGGTTTAGGGTTTTGGGGTTTTGGGGTTTAGGGGTTTGGGGGTTGAGGAGTTCTAGGGGGTTTTAGGGGTTTAGGGTTTTGTGGGTTGAGGAGTTTAGGGGTTAGGAGTTTAAACTTTTCAGGGGTGAGGGTTGCGGGGTTTTAGGGTTTAGGGGTTGAGGGTTTAGGGTTTTAGGATGTGAGGTTTAGGGTTTATGTTTTGGGGGTTCACGGGTTGAGGGGTTTTAGGGTTGAGGGTTTAGGGTTTAGGCCTTAGGGTTTACGGCTTCATGTTTAGTGTGTGTTTAGAATTGAAGTTTTAGGGCTTAGGGTTTTATGTTTAGTGTGTTTAGGGTTTAGGGTTTCATGTTGAGTGTGTGTTTCGGGTTGCCGGCTTATAGGTTGAGGGTTTGTTCATAGTTTAGGTTTTGTAGGCAGAGGGGGGGAGGGGCGAGTGTTGAGGGATTGAGGGGTTCAGGTGGCTGGCTAACTGCACCCTTCTGTGCAAAACCTGTGGTGCCTCTTGCACCCGCTGTTTATAAATGGTCTCTATGTTACCTGAGGGGAGCTCAAAGGCACACTCCCTCAAATATCTGCCTTTCCTGGAAAAATGATGCCTCTCTGGGTGGGTCGTTCCGGGGTACAGTACCCAAAAAAAACGTTATAATCTTCTTCGAGGGTTTCCGGTTTACGGGGTTTATGGTTACAGGGTTTATGGGGTGTATAGGGTTTAGGGTTTTGGGTTCTGGTTTTGGAACAGAGTTCCGCCAAGTGCTCCAAGCCCCTCAGCCCTAGAAGCCCTCAAACACGAAGGGTTTAGGGTTTAGGGTTGAGGGTTTGGGGCACAGGCTCCGAGCTGCTCAAAGACAAGTACTCCAAGCTGTCGAAGGCCTAGCTACCCAGATTTGGGGTGTTGGGGGCCTTTTGAGCTGAAACGGGTGAAACCTCAGCCCTAAACCCCAAACCCTAAACCCTAAATCCTAAACCCTACAACCACAACTCCTTAAGCTCCACTTCCCTAACCTTGCTCGCTGCCGTCCTTGAGTGATTCAGCCCAGGGCCTCTTCCCACAGCACGCCCCTAGCAACTCACGCACGGCTGTTGACATCAGCCCCCTGGCTTCTGGGGATGTTTCTGCTTGTATCCGGCAATGGGCGGAGGAGTTTAGGGTCGTTTGGGTTTGAGGGATTAGGGTTTAGGAACTGAAGTATGGTGTTAGGGCATAAGGGGCTGGGAAGACGAAAGGCCACCTTCAGCAAATCCCGAGCCCAAATCCAAATCCTTACACAAGCCCTAAACCACAAGAGCAACGCCTCCCCTTCCCCCACCACCCCTGTCTTGGTTGGCAGGAGCTGGAGATTTCGCAGGAGAAGGCACGCAGTTGTGGTGTACGGGTGGGTGGGGAGGGGGCATGTGACGAGAATCTTTTTGGCCAGGAGGCATGAATGTTGCTCGCCATGTTCAGGCGTTTAGATTTCATAGGGTTTCGGGCGCACGGTGCTTGGAACCCATGAATTAGAAACTCGTGGGCCCGGCGGATCCCAAGTTCGAAGGCTTAGGGGTGGCAGATCCTCTCACCACTAGAAACCCTCCGAATTCTAAACCCAGACCTCAGCAGCCAACAAGCCGGTTTAATTAGGGTTCAGGGTTTAGGGCTCAAACGCCCCTAGGCCCCGAATCTCACAAGCCCAAGCCTCAAACCCCGAAGCCTCAAATCCCAAAGCGCCAAGCCCCTCGGACCCCCCCCCCTCCCAGTCCTCAATCGCAAACCTCAACTACCATTTGCTTCAGAACCCCATCAAAAGAATACAAACAATAATCTCTTTTTTACCCTTATAAGGAAGAATACTTTTTGCTTTGGGGGTTCTTAAAGCAAATAGTAGTCAAGCCTCCAGTAATGTACCCTAAGCTAAGGCCCTAGGTGAGGGTACTACCTCTACACCTTCAGCTCGAGGACCCCAGGAACCCTAAACTCCCTAAACCCCCTAAACCCCCTAAACCCCCTAAACCCCCTAAACCCCCTAAACCCCCTAAACCCCCTAAACCCCCTAAACCCCCTAAACCCTAAACCCTGTCGCGCGAGGCCCGGTTGCACTTCCAGCACAGGCGCGAGGCCGAAAACACCCTGGCACTTCTCGCCTCGCAGAGAGCGGAGGCGTGGGTTCGTCTAGGGATTTTCGGGTTTGGGCTTCAGGTTTGGGCTTAACCCCAAACCCTAAACCCTAAACCCTAAACCCTAAACCCTAAACCCTAAACCCTAAACCCTAAACCGTAGGATTTGGGATTTGGGATTTGGGATTTGGGGTTTAGTTCGGAATATTCATTAGTGTTCCACTGGGGCTGTTTGTAGTTTAGGAGCTTAGTTAAGCTTTTTAGGGTTCAGGGTTTTTGTTTTGGGTGTAGGGTTTAGGGTTTAGGGCTTGGGGTTTAGGGTGTTGGTGCAGCTGTTGGATGGTCTGATGGAGCATCGGTCGCTGTAGTGGTGGGTTTCAGCGTAGATTCATTGTGAGTGGCTTAAAACATGTGCCGAAATACAGAGATCCGCAAACGCTTACAACGTGTGTTGGAAAGATCACATCTCGAACGAGTGAAAAGATGTTGCAACAGCACAGCGAATGCAATCTACAGATTGCAGGTCTCCGAAAAGCATGGAAATTGCGAACATAGCGAGCTCGCGAACGACAGTGTAGTTCAAATGATATAGATACATACACAATTCTCAAAGGCTGCGTTTCACATAGCATTTGTTTGTTTTGTCATGGGCAGTGCTCTAACTGAGGGCCCCTTTTGGGTTCCTATATACGGCACCTTATGAAAGGGACCCCAAGAAAGGGACCCTAATTTAGAGGACTACCCACATGATGCATTGGAGTAGTGGTCAGGTGAAGCGCTACCAGGATCTAAAGGCACAGCGCGACGCGCTAATTGTGGAAGCTGCCGGGGCCTCAAGCTTGAGAGCTTTCTGGTTCTTACCAGGGAATTAGGGAGTTAGGGCATGAAGGGTTTAGGGTTTAGGGTTTAGGGTTTAGGGTTTAGGGTTTAGGGTCTATGGTATAAGCCCTTCCTTAAAGTGCAAGATTAGCGGTCGTTGAAGGTGCCGAATTCTTTAATTCTTTCTTCGGAGCTGGTGCTGTAACATTGGCAAGGCTATAGCTTCAGCCTGGGTGCTCCGCAGGGTAAAGGGGTGTTTTCGTGCACCAGGGAAAACAATCAGGTTCCATTTCGGAGTTTCCGAACAAAGGGGTTCCCTTTCGGGGCTGTCCCTTGTCAGGGAATTCCCGTAGATTTGGGGCATGAAGGGTTGGGAGATTTAGGGCATGAAGGGTTAGGAGATCGTCCCCTAAACCCTAAACCCTCAACCCTAAACCCTAAACCCCTAAACCACCAGAAGCCCACCCCAAAACCCCGACCGCCCCATTCAACTGCCTGGTTCTTAGTAGGGAATGAGGGTTTAGGGTTTAGGGTTATCCCTTGAGGGTATTTCTACGACCCTAAACCCCAAACCCGAAACCCTGAACCCTAAAACCCCAACCGCCCCACTCAAAGGCCCTCTTCCGGCTGTACTCCGCCGATCGAGAGGCAGCGCAGAATATCGAGGCTCGGGGGAGGGGGGGAGTTGTTTAAGGTTTCGGGGTTATAGGGTTTAGGGTTTAGGCGGGATTCAGGGGGTTTGGGGTTCGAGGGGCTTTACGGGGTTCAGGGAGTTTATATGGTTTAGGGGGTTTACGGGGGGGGGGGGGGGTACGGGGTGGGGGGGGGACCCAATTGTGTTCAGCGTTTTTTCTTTTGTTTACCCTAAACCGCTGCGTTAGGGAATGCACCTTACACTAGATAAGGGCCCTCATTCTGAGTTGCGGTCTATTTCTTCCAGAACCCAAGCCCTAAAACCACGCCAAGCCCCTAAACTCTTCAACCCCCAACCCAAATGCTCCGAGCTCCAAAACTCAAAGCCCCAAGTCCTAAACCAAACCCTGAACCCGAAATCCCAGACCCATCAGCCCGCAACCCGAATTAAGCCCTAAACCCTAAAACCCTGCAAACCTTCACCCTGAACCCGAAATCCCAGACCCATCAGCCCGCAACCCGAATTAAGCCCTAAACCCTAAAACCCTGCAAACCTTCAAACCCGAAACCCTAAACCCCGAACCCGAAACACCTATAAACCCTAAACCTGAACCCCAAAATACCCATCAACCCATAAACCCCTAAAACCTGAAAACCCTCAACCCTTTAATTCCCACCCAGGCCTGCTTAGGCTGTACCTACCCTTTGCTAGGGTGCCTGGCCCCGGAACTACACCCGACTGCTACTCACGGTCGCTGGAGCTACTATGCAAGCGCGTGAACCCGGGACTCTCCTTAGACCTCCTTGGGGCCCCCGCTGAGGACTTCCTGGAATCCCCCTGCCTGAAACCCCCAAACCCCCCTAAACCCTAAACCCTAAACCCTAAAAGTCCTGAAGCCTGAGCCCTAAACCCTAGCCCAAAAACCCTAAACCCTAAACCCCTTAAAGCCCTGAAGCCCTAGACCCTAAACCCTAAAACCTAAACCCTAAACCCTAAACCCTAAACCCTAAACCCTAAACAGTCCTGAAGCCCAGGTCTCCTCCGGGCTCCGTACGGAGGTGGCGGAGGCCGAAGCGGAACTCCGCAAGCGGCGCCGCGCTCGACAGAAGATGAGGGTTTAGGGTTTAGGGTTTGGGGTTTAGGGTTTAGGGCTTCAGGACTTTAAGGGGTTTAGGGTTTGGGGTTTGGGGTTTAGGCTTTAGGATTTGGGGTTTAGGGTTTAGGGTCTGAGGTTCGGGGTTTAGGTTTGGGGTTTGGGGTTTAGGATTAAGGGTTTGGGGCTGGGGGTTTAGGGTCTAGGGTTTAGGGTTGATGAGGGTCGTTCAGGTTTGAGGGCTTTGAAGGATGTTTGGGGTGTAGGCTTTTTGTTTGCTTGTTGGGGGCCTAAACCCTAAACCCTAAACCCTAAACCCTAAACCCTAAACCCTAAACCCTAAACCCTAAACCCTAAACCCTAAACCCTAAAGAAAGTCTTCTGCGTTTGGGGCTGCAAGGGTGCTAGCGCTGCAAACCCCGCCCTCCGGCCCCGCGCGCCCTCTTAGGGTTTAGGGTTAGGGAAACAAAGCGCGAAGTGAATACTGTAAAGGAGTGAAAGAAGTGAATGTCAACGAAGTGAGTAAGGAAGTGAGTAAGTGTGAAGTGAATTATAAGCGAGCCAAGCGAAGGCACGAACTCACTGAGCTGAACGAAACATCATTAAATACTATTTTGCGGCCTATTATGTTACCATTTTTATGGCCGCGTATATTGCTCATCCCGGGCTCCTTTTGTCATTATTAGGCCGGCCCTACCCCCCCCCCCCCCGTCAAAGCCTCAACCCTTAACCCTGAGTCTTGAAACCTGAAACCCTGACACCCAAAAAACAATCGCTCCCCAAAACCTAACACCCCTAATCGGAGCCCAAAGCCTAAATCCTAAACCTTAACAACCCAACTCCCTAAACCCTAAGTCCTGAGCCCTGAGCCCTGAGTCCTACACAAACCCCAACCCTAAACCCCTAAACCCCTAAGCCCTAAACCCCTAAACCCTAAACCCTAAGTCAGACCCTTAGAGCGTTTGCCTTTATGTCTGAGGCGAAAGGCCATCGAAGAGGCGGACGCCCAGCGTCAGAAGTTCGATGAGGAATTCCGCGAGGACGTGTAGGGTTTAGGGGGTTAGGGTTTAGGATTTAGGGTTTAGGGTTTAGGGTTTAGTGTTTAGGGTTTAGGGTTTGGAGGCTTTTGAGTTCTTAGAGTTTGGGCCCGACGTCCAAGTGAAAGATGCGAGTTCCTGCGGTCATTCAGGGTGTCTCGGGTTTCGGGGCTCGGGGCTTTCCGGTAGGGTTTTGGGTAGTAGGGCTCACCCCTCACACCTAGAACCCAACCCTAAACCCTAAACCCTAAACCCTTATGCAGACCTGAGACTTCCACTCTGTGATGGCAGGGGGTGGCTGGGCCCAAGACCGACACCATGCGTCCCCTTCATCCAAAATTCATGGGGGGGGCTTTAAGTCCTAGGTAGGACAAGGGGGGCCCTTAAAAGGGAACCCCTTCTTAACCCTCTTCTGGCTCTCTTAAACGGAGACCTTATTCAGAGGGTCTATATCCCCAAGGGTCCCCCTAATCCTATTCCCTATTAAGAAGTCAAGTCTCTTGTTGGGTGTAAGGTGGGAGTGATCATGATCCCCCTAAGCCCAAACCCTAAACCCTAAACCCTAAACTTTGTTGTGAGCCCAGCCTCTGCACCAAATCAGCTGGGGCCTATGCGCCTATACCCTATAACTCTGAACCTCAAATCCCAAGTTTGCTTTAGGGCCTTCAAAGCCCAAATCCCAACTCCTAAGCCGTATAAGCCCGAAGTCTTCAACCCTAAGCCCGAGTTCCACCCTAATCCTAAGGCACACTGGGTTTAGGGTTTCGGGTTTACGGTTTAGGATTTGGGATTTAGGGTTTAGGGTTTAGGGTTTAGGGTTTTAAGGTTTAGGGCTCAACTGTTGCTTGGGGGCCGAGCGGGAAGGCCCAAAACGAGCACTTCGCGATGAGAACCGCCATGGAGCAGCAGAAGCCTGAAATCGCGAGCTGCCGAAAGCAGGCCCGGAGTTCCCAAAGGCCCCAGAAGCCGGATTTAGGGTTTAGGGTTTAGGGTTTAGGGTTTAGGGCTTATGGTTCA